ATTTATTATAATAAAATAAATAAAAAAAATAAATGAATAAATAAATAAATACATTAATTAATTAATTAATTAATTAATTAATTAATTAATTAATTAATTAATTAATTAATTAATTAATTAAACAAAATAAAACACTAAATACTAAAAAGAAGTTTTGTTTATTAAAACAATAAAAATTATGCTGTATAATCAGCAGCAAATATCTGCGGTGTATATACACCTCAATAAGCAGCAGGAGCAGCAGGAGCAGCAGCAGCAGCAACTGGCTGCATGCATACTGCAGCAGCATATTATCTGCCACAATAAACCCTAAACCCTAAACCCTAGAAAAGGGTTTCTGCTGCTGTTAATCTTTTCTCTACAACTTCCCAGTTCACAGACCCCCAGAAACCTGCGGATACACCCCAACACAGCAGCGCATGCATGCAGCAGATACACAGCTAGCTAGCTAGCTAGCTAACTAACTAGCTAGCTAGCTAGCTAGCTAGCTACGGCTACCTACTTAGCTAGCTAGGTAGGGATGTAGGTTGGTTAATAGCTAGCTACAGAGCGCAGCAGCACGGTCGTTGCCACCAGAGCAGCAGCAGCAGCGAGAGCAGCAGCAGCAGCAGAGAAAGCAGCAGCAGCAGCAGGAGCGAGAGCAGCAGCAGCAGGAGCGAGAGCAGCAGCAGCAGGAGCGAGAGCAGCAGCAGCAGCAGCAGCATACGGTCAACATAAGAAGCGCGGGCGTTCTTGTAGTCAATATAGTAGGCATGTTCCCATACATCTGCACAACAAACCATAAACCCTAAACCCTAAACCCTAAACCCTAAACCCTAAAACCCCAAACCTCCAAACACGAAGCTGTCAAACCCTAGAGCCTAAACCCTAAACTGCAGCTAAACCCTGCATCGACCAGCCCTGCTACAGCGGTAAATCCACCCTTCCTTCAAACCCTAAACCCTAAACCCTAAACCCTACCAATAGTAAGAAGAGGAATTAAATCTTGTGAAGGTGCAGATACACCATCATGTGTTTCTTTTATTTCTCCTCCTTCTTTGTTTATACATAGCCATACCCAACCACTACCAAAGTGTCCTATATACACAAACCCTAAACCCTAAACCCTAAACCCTAAACCCTAAACCCTAAAAGAAGAAGCAGTAGACATAGAGAGGGTATTTAGGTACATAAAGAAGCATAAACCCTAATAAACCCTAATAAACCCTAATAAACCCTAATTTAGGGTTTAGGGTTTACCTGTAGCAGCAGCCTTGAATTGACGTTTAAATTCCTCTAAACCCCCAAAAGAACGCTGTAGTAAATTTAGGGTTTTGGGCAAGGGTTTAGGGTTTAGGGTTTGAGGACCCATAGACTCAAAGAAAAAAGAATGATTATAATGTTGCCCGCATGCATTTGCTGCTGCAGCAGGAAGCCCCTTCACCTTTACTGCTTCTGCAGCAAACACAGCAGCAGCAGCAGCAGCAGCAGTTGTAGTAGTAGTAGATCAATCCCTGTAAACCCTTCTCCCTAAACCCTAAACCCTAAACCCTAAACCCTAATACATACCATCAAGAGTAATGCCTTGGAGCCGAGGGTCTTTCTCTGCATGAGCTGCAAAGACAAACAGACATCCATAAACCCTAAACCCTAATGTCTAAACCCTAAACCCTAAACCCTAAACCCTAATCTGTAAACCCTAAACCCTAAACCCTAAACATACCGTTTAGGGTTTTGACGTATGCTGCATGATGTCTTGCATAGTGATAGGCGAGCTGCTCAACACTTATAAAACCCCACAATAGCTCCTGCTGCTGCTGCTGCTGCTGCTGCTGCTGTTGTTGTTGTTGCTGCTGCTCCAGGGGAGGCAGCAGGGGAGGAGGAGGGAGAGAAAAGGGTTTGGCGTTTCTTAGTTCTTTTAGTGCTGCTGTTTCTTCTTTTGATAGTTTTGCTGCTGCTGCTAGCAGCAAGAGGGATTCGTTTTCTGCGTCTGCTGCTGCTGCTGCAGCTGCTGCTGCTGTTGTTGCTGCTGCTGCTGCTGTGTCTTGCTTCCTTGCTGCAGCAGAACAGGAAGACGAGAGCCTAGAGGGAGCAGCAAATGTGCTGCTGCTGCTGATGCTGCTGCAGCTGCTGCAGCTGCTGCTGTTGCGGCTGAAACCCCAGACATTGCCAATATTTGCTGCTGCAGTCAGCAGCAGCAACAGCAGCAGCAGCAGCAACTGTTGCTGCTGCTGCTGCTGCTGCTTCCCTACACGTGCAGCAAACCTCATGGTTTATAGGTGTGCAGACATAGAAGTATAGCCTCGATGCGACCGCCAGGTATAGCTCCTTAGAGGCTAGGGTTTAGGGTTTAGGGTTTAGGGTTTAGAGTGTATAGAGTGTATATAGTATAAATAGTGTATAATATGTGTGTTGTTTTTGCATGGGTATTTTTTAGTAGATTATATTCAAACCCTAAACCCTAAACCCTTAAAAAAAACCCTAAACCCTAAACCCTAATTAGACCCTAAACCCTCGTTGT